ACTTTACAATTAGTTTTCGCATAGTATTATATTTGCATCAATCTTTAACAATTATTTTAGAGGCAAAGCGTTTATAAATTAATCTACTAGCTTTATTTTAGTCGTAAATTTATTTCACGCCTTAAACTAATTTAATTTTTCTAATTAGTAGAAGTTTGTACGATGATACTTTGAGTCGATTTATTTCTCTCCCGCTCATTAGAAAGTACGAATGCCTCGCAGATCCGCTGTATCTTCTTTTACCCCAGCGAGTGTGACAAATGAGCCAGATACGAAGAATAGTAGTTATATTTTTAAGGTTTTTACTTATAAGCTAGAAATATCATCATAAAGGGCAAAGCTCCTGTAGATTCGGAATGCGAGCCTAAAATCAACTCGGCTCATGTATTTTACGAAGACGATATCATATATGATGTACTACTTAATCAAGTAAATTAAGTTTGCTTATTATGAATAGACTAATTTTCAATTCAACAACAACAAATTTTACATAATACAGCTTATCGAGGATGACGCTGTCATGAATTATTCAGTTTGGTACAGATGGGGGAGGGTTGGGAGAGTAGGGCAATCTAAGCTAGAGAGCTATGGATCAGATCTTGAAGGTGCAAAGGAAGCTTTTATCGGAAAGTAATCTTAAATACCGAAATTTTTATCTTGAGTATATTGAGTAATGCTTTCAAATTGATATTTCTTCATTAGATTTTACGCCAAGACTTTTAATCACTGGAGTGACCGTACCAATTTTGTGAAAGTGGATGGAAAATATGATATCGTTCATCTTGACTATGCCATTCAGGTAACCTTAGTGTCCGATCTTTTTTAACTTACTCTATGTCATTAACTGATATTCTGAGTTATTTCTAGTCTGACGATGTTCCTGCGAAAAAGAAAAAACGGAAAACTGATTCAAAATTATCAGAGCCTACCTTCGTAAGTTTGTGAGCCATTACTTTCCATCTTCTTTTCGCATGTAATGTTATATGAACATTGATTCTGCTCTTTGCTGTTAGTACACTCACGTTTAGCGAATCAAATCAGAATTATTTTTTCTCCCAATCTTGCTTTGTTTTTTTAACTCTGCCTAGCAATAGACACTGAGTTTTAGTTTACCTTTACGCGCATTTACTAACTAGTTTCCATTTATTTGATTTAATCTGTATATTTAATACTAATGGATTTTTGTATCTG